TTTTTTTTTTTTATGTGAGATTAATATAATACTGACAAAGCTGATGAAGATGCCCTTTGAGCCACTGAGTACCTATGCACTCTGATTTCTTATGAAGGTCATTTTTCTCTTGTAGCAGTGACCTTGGCTCAGAGCATCAGTTTCAGGACTTAATGATCTAGTTTATATGAGAGTGGAAAAAAATAGTGGTGCTGTAACTTGCAGGTGATACCTTTTTAAGAGATTCCATGAAGGTGGAAGTCTCACAGCATCAGTTTTTCCCCCCGCAGCCTTTGTGCCCATCCTGGAAATTCTAGGAAGGGGAATCTCTTGCTAATGTTTTTGTCTTGCATTTACAAATGAGCTGAGCCCTCTTCTTGCCCTTGGAATCTTTATTTTGGCACGTCCTCCTTAAGTTGAGCAAAGTTTAGAAGGCTCCACCTTGAGTTGTTTGAAGTCTCAAGACTCCTTGGGGAGGCATTTCCCTCTTTCAAGCAAAATCCTTTTTCATCTACGTGGTTTGCTTTGGCTTAATGTTTATTGCTGTTTTCGTTATAGATGTTCCTCTTTCTTGAAGGATTTATTTTGAGCTGCTTGCACTCCTGACCAGATGGTACCTTTAGAAAGACTGAAATGGATAGATTTGTAACTCTGCTTCTTTGTGGAAACTTTTGAATGAATTCTTCACCTTTTTTTTGCATCAATTTGAAGAGGAACCTACTTCTGAAATGGTTTTACTACTGTTCTAGCACTCTTTTTTTACTTGCTTGTTTCTGTAATTCTGCAGTTGACTCCACTGAAGAGCCTTTGCTGAAGTAGGGATGCTGGTCCAGTCTATAAACTACTGCCAGTACCCCATCAGCCTAAGAAAGCAGCAGGCACAGGCAGCATCAGTTTCTGGTTGCTGCTGCCACTGGTCACAATTGCGTGGTTGTGGCAAAAGCAGTCTTTTCTGTGCTGCCACCCTCGCCCCCACACCGCATTCAGATTCATCTGAACCTTAAATTGGTGCCTGAGGTGGTTGCCCCTGTCACCCCACCCTACTTACACCACTGCACTGTCCTTAAGGACTAAAACTGGAAAGCTCGGGAGGCTGTTTGGACTGAGTCCATTAAGAATCTTCAGAGAAATAGCATTACCAGTGAATTGCTCCTTCCTGTTTCTGGTTTCTGTGTATAGCTTAATATGCCACTTGTATACAGTAAATATATACTACAAAACAGCTAGGAAACAAAGGTAGTGGAGGTATTGTAACTTTACTGTCTGTTTATACTACCTCTACTCAGTGTGGCTGGGACATTGGGCATCTGGTAACTGTTGCTCTTTTTACTTCAGTCCCAGCAGCCACTGGAAGACCTGGATGCTCAGCTAAGAAGAACCCTCAGTCCAGAGACTGTCCCAGTAACGTCTGCTCCTGCCTGTGTAAGTATATTCAGTGTTTGGTGTTTAGTAGTCTTAAAATGATCAAATCTATGCTCTCTTAAATTGTCATTACAGGGTCAGTTTTTCAGGGTGCTTATTGCGGTCACTCTTTGCTTTCAAAATAAAAATATTTTGAAGTTTCAGAAGCTAGTAAATAGCATGCAGGAGAAAATACTGCATGGCTTGTCCACAGTGACTCTTGGAGGCTTTTGAAAAGTGTTCTACTCTATTGGTAAAGACACCCCATTTAAAACAAAAATACTAAACCTGTTCCAGAGGCTTTGAGGATGCAGCAATGCAGAAGACTTGGAATAAAGATTGACCTATGAGCCTCTGATACTGAGGCAACTGGAACTGATAAGTATATGCAGAATGTGTACCTTAGCTTATATGGAAGAGGAAAGAAACTACTCTTTCTACAAAGGCACTAGGAAATTGTAATACCTAGTCTGAAAGTGTACTGTGGCTGGACAGGGTGCAGGGACAGGAAAGCTAAGTTGTTTTGTTTTTTTTATACACCCTGCATACTTAAAATTGAGTAGGAAAACTTAAGAGATCCTAATCAGTGCTGTATAGATGATAGGGGGTGGAGGGGGTGAAATTCAATTTGGTGCTGTGATCTGCTGAGAAGGAGGTTCCATATTCAAGTAAATGGTGTTTCTGTAACAAGTAAAACTTCGCTGTGCACAGAAAGAAGAGTTCTACTGGCCACCAGATAGAATTGGTTGTGCAAGAGATTCACTGAGATCACCTGTTACTTTTGCCTGCAGTTGTCCTGAAGGAATTGAGAAAAACATTGATCCTTACCACAATCTGCCTAAAGCATCTTGCAATATCCAAAGGACAGCTAAAAGATTTTTTCTTGTGTTCATAGCCTGTACCAGCAGTTACCGCTCCAGTAACCGTTGTAGCAGCGTCTGCACCTACACAGCCCCTAAAAGATGGTAAGAATCCTTTTGTTCTGGTGCTTCCCACCTTATTTCTTTGGAGGAAAGTGAATGGAGTTGCTGGACATGTTTAAATGTCAAAACCTAACATTGCAGGGTTCCTTCCTCTCTTCCCCCAGGAAAGGTACTGGTTTTGATACAGTAGGTGGCCATTTTGTAGTATGGCAGGCGGAGGCAAGGGATTTACTAATGAGTTTAGCTCATACAGGTTTTAAAACTGTTAATGTTAAATTTTTATATTTGTTTATTTGAATCTTCATACATTGCTCACTAAAGTATAATTTCAGAACTTGGAGTGATTGTTTTAATCTTCTGTGCATGCTAATTACTTGACAAGAGTGAAGATTACATTCCTTGTCATGATCTTTGTGTACTGCAAAAAGAGGCGCGCTCTCCTTTTTCAGCAGAACCAGGTTATTTCTCCTCTTTTTTTTCCTAAACAGAGAGTGTAAGCCTGATTAAAACAATACTTGGAGAAAAGATTTGCTTCCTGACTTTATTCAGAGCAGATGTTGGATTTTCAAATCCTGAATCTATCCGTCTGCTATTTGTACAAACCTGTAACGGTTCTAGGAAGTTTCAGGTATGTCCATTAGGGCTGTGCGAAACACCATCATTTTGCTTCAACATCTGTTTTGCTGTTACTAAGGGACAGTGTTTCATTTCATCATTTTAAAGCACTGTCCCGTTTTGTTTCATCAAAACTGTTTCGCTGTTTTGACTTCAACATTTCACCCATAAGGTATAATGGAGAATCATGAAAATGCATAAAAAGTTGTCATTGGTTGCCTGATCCAGATGCAAATTGCAGGGATGGTAACCCCTTATGAGGGCAGGAAGCCTGCCAGGTTTCAAGGAGATTAGATATAGGGGTTTCTCAGAAACTGCACCCCAAAGTTTTTTTGACGCAAAATTTGCCAGCAGCAGCAGCCTTTTGTCATCTGACATGCCGATCCAGGGGCTCGCACCCCCAGGAGGGCTGCGGGGCTGTGCTGGACTCATGGGGGTGCAGGGCCCCCGGGTCTGCACCAGATGACATGAGGTTGCCACTTGGGACCAGTGCTGGGTGCAGCCCGTGTCCAGCACTGAACTTCGTGGAGCTCCGTCCGGCAGGAGGAGACAGAGCGCAGCCCCGGCTCTGCCCACCTCCTGCCTCCAGGCTGCGCTCTGAGCAGTTCCGCAGCCCTATGGTCCTCAGCCCAGTGCTGGGAGGTGGCCACAGCCGGGGCTGTACTCTGCCTCCCACCACTGGGCTGAGCTCCATGGGGCTAGCAGAGCCAATTGGAGTGCAGCCTGGCGGCAGGAGGTGGGGGGAGCCAAGGCTGCGTTTGCCACCGGGCTGAGCTATGTGGGGCTGTGGAGCCGCTCAGAGCGCAACCCTGGCTCTCCCCTGCCTCCCACCACCTGGCTGTTTTGAAACTCAAAGCGTTTTGAGCACCTTCATTTCATTTCAAAGCTGTTTCAATGCTTTTTGTTTCATTTTGATTTTGCTGTTTTGAGCTGGAAATGCATCAAAACAGCTTCAAAACTAAACACTTGACAATTTCGCACAGCCTTAATGTCCATGTCTCTACAAAAACAGTTGATACACCTGGCTAGCTAACTCTATAAGGTATGGACTTACGGGAGTGTTGAAGTATCTGTTGCAGGTTCTCTTGTCTAGTTTTAAAGAACCTCAGTTACTCTTTCCACAAGTGAGAGTCGTTATACCGTTAGCTTTATTAATAATGAAATAATTCTCTAGTAGTGCTCAATGACTTTGCACCATCTATGTTGAACTTTAAATTTTAGGTCAGTTGAAATCTTTAATACAATGAATTTACAACTTTACCATATTCTTGGGCAACTTTTAGTTGTATGGCTGGAATGTAGTCCTGGCTGTATGCTTCCTTCAGCCATGGCTGCCTTTAATGGGATTTTTAGCTGTAAAGACGGATGTAAAGCTATGTTGTTGCTTCATGCTTCAAATAACCTTTGACGGTAATTACACTGATCTAACAGAACACAGTGTGGTGGGAGGGGATTGCAAGTTGCCAGCCCTGAAATCAGAAAATGAGACTACTATACTGAACAAAAACAGTAGTCCTGAAATTGTTTAGTTTAACCTTTGAATCTTTTTGCATTAATAAACTGGCTCCAGCTTTCATGCTGCTTAACACCTGGGTATCTAACACTTTGGTAGTGGAGATTAAATATAAAACTATAAATATATATATCTATAAATACATAAGTATAAATCATATGGAGGGAGAGGGAGAGAGATTTGTAGATTTATGTGTATGTATAGATTTTATCTATCTATTGGTTGGTGGTGTGTGTGTGTGTGTGTGTGTGTGCGCACACACACACATATATAAAAAATTATTCTACTCATGTTTGCCCCGGATGCATATTTCCAGGTTTAAAGATTCCATTTCGCTGGCAGGGTCACTGAGGCAGTGATGCACCTTAGAGTGAGAGAAGTTGGCCAAATGAGACGGCATAGGTGTAAATTCTGCTTAGCTGAATACTAAAACTGTTTATTATTCTGCGTAGCAGAGCACTAGTTCAGCTGAGCAGAATTTACACTTATGCCATCTCATTTGGCCAACTTCTCTCACTCTAGGGTGCATCACTGCTTCGGTGACCCTGCCAGCGAAATGGAATCTTTAAACCTGGAAATATGCATCTGAGGAAAACATAATGAGTAGGATAAGCATACTGAAAAAAGTGTGGTCTCAAGCTCTGCATAACAAAGATCATTGCAAGATCAGGTGAGGTGCACTGGTCTATTGATCTGTTTCATATTGGCACAGATGAAAGGAAAATTGACATTATTGGCAGTTGGCTTTTTTTGGCTGAAGTGGCCAATAATGTTGATGATAAATCCTGTGTTCATCACGGGTGCAGCCACAGTATGCATACAGCCAGGGGTGCAGCCCAGCTTGGAGAGCAGCATCCAGCTGGTAAATCTGGGGCGGGGGGGGACAGATTGATACCCCCATGGTGAAGGAGGGAGTGGGGTTGGGGTAGGGACAGGTGCTGCCTGGGTGGGGTGGGGCACAGGATGGAGCTGCAAGCAACTTGCCTTGGTGATGTGGGGAGGTGGGCAGCTCCTGCCACTGCACGCACCCCTGGGGGAGGCATGAGCATGTGCCCCCCAGATCTTTGCAGGGGGTGAGGGTGAACTGCCACTGCAGGCTGGGGCCAGGGCGGTGTCAGGCTTTTCCTGGTGGTGGGGGGTTGGGTTGGGGCTGTGCTTGGGGCAGGCAGTGGTGCTGCAAGGGGGGCTATGGGGTGGGCTACAGCGACCCCAAAATTTGTCGTAGCCTCCTCCCATTCCTTCCCAGTGCTGCTACCTAGCCCTAGCCCAGGACCCCTGCTGGGAAGAGCCCAGCACCAGCCCCAGCCTGTGCAGAGGCAGCCCATCCTCACCCCACGCACAAATCCAAGGGGCGCATGCCCCCCATGCCTCCCCTGGGGGTATGTGCAGCAGTGGGAGCTGCCCCTCAGATGGAGCCACTTACGGCTCCATTCCACACCCTGCCCTGCCCCAGCTGTGCAGCCCCAGGCCCTGCCCCAGCTCCATTCCCTCCCTCACTGGGGGCCCCCTTTATGCCTCTTCCCTCCATCTCCCCGCTTCTTCCCCACAAACTTACCAGCTGGACGTTGCTCTCCAAGCTGCTGGGCTACACTTCGGCAATTAAGTAATTAAATATGACTTAGCCTGTGATCTAATGAGTAGTTGGAGGAAGATTTAATTTCAGTGGAGTGATTTTCTTTTTTTTTCCAGCACAGTTGACTAGTGAGCATCTGAAAATGTATCAAGAATAAATGCAACAATTGGTGGGGAAAAAATACAGACATTGAGCATGCTGCACTTTTCAGTTTTTAGTTGCAATACTGCTAAAAACTCCCACTTTATGCCTCTGCTTCAGTCAAATAGGAGATTTAAAACAGTAATTCTCACTGCTTTGAGTGGTGTTGCAACCTCCTTAAAAGGGTGCCATGGCCCAGTCTCCTGGCAGCCCTCCCCACAGCCCTTCTCACCAGCTTCACAAGAATGGGAGGAACAGGGGAAGGAGTTGAATTACAAAAAGCACAGCTTTTGTTCTTAGCAGCCCCTGTGTCAACTGCTGCTGTGCTTCAAGCTGTGCAGTCTGCTGTGGGTGGTAGGTGGATGCAAGGTCATACTTTCTCAGCCCAGCTCGTTCTCCTGCTCCTTCCATGCTCCCATGGAGTTGGTGGGAGGGACTTCAGTTAATGGTGCTCCAGTTATTGACATTCAAGTCCCTAGAGGAGCAGTCACAGCTGAAGAGGCCATGGTAGAGATGGTGGCAGGGCAGGTTTCTACCCCTGCCTCCTTTACATGACACGAGCAGCTACTGTTGCCCCCGTCTGCCTCCTGCAGGGACAGCTGCCTCATTCAGAGGTCTAATGACCCACCCTAACCTTGCCTAATCTGCCCTGCACCATACCAGGGTCTCAGGAGTGTGCTGCCCACCCTCCCACGCCATGAAATTCTTTTAAGGGTGCCACAGGGTATGAGGAGGTGAGTGCTGTAAGGGATTAGACCTTAAATGGGATGGCACTGAGTTCCAAAAAGTCATGGAGGGTGCCTCAAGTTTAACACAGTTGGGAGCCACTGGATTCAAGAAAGGATGCCCTCCAGTAGCGAAGGTCTTACCTAAAGCTGATGGAATGCAGAAACGCTTCCTGCGATCTTGCACCGTAGCAAGAACATGAGTACTGGGCTGGGGGCAGTGTCTAGGGTGACTCTATCCTTGACTATGAGGGCTGGGAAGAGAGAAAGGGGATTGCATTTCTTTCTTAACCCACTCCTCCCTTCTACCTGATCGGTCTGTTTCAGCATCACAGAGCGCAGAAAGCAGTGCTGTGACCGCCACTGCAGGGACTGGAGTTCTTAAGATGGGCCGATTTCAGGTAAGAGATGTTACTTTGGAATTGCTTCTGAAATGGGGGAATTGATATAGGACTATCACTCCCTATTAGGGTTGGGCAGTACTAGGCTGAAACCATTTCCTGAAAGGTAGTGCCAGTGTTAGAGCGCAGAATTCACATCAAGCTTAAGGGTAGAGTTCACAAGTGAGGCTATGTGTATAGGTACACACAAGCCATTTGTCATGAACGATGGGACTTTGCCAGGCATTGCTGATCTGTCGTAATTGCCTGCCTGCATGCTCTTGCCTTGAAGCAAATGAAAACAGATGTGGAGTAGCCCTCTTCTGATTTTAATGTCTTTCTCTTTATTTACTATAGAGGCTGCATATGGGCCCTTACTATGGAGCTGCTGATATGCAGTAGTATCACATATTCCCCTATCTTCAGTAACTTGTTGCTATGTCTGTGCCCTGAGATTATACTGTGGTTTATTTACTTGATTACTTATTTTTACATTTTGTGACCCTTTAAGCCTTGACATGCATCTTGTGTGATGACTGTTGGTTGTCAACCTTATCTTAAACATCAGTTACTTAGTGATGTAACACATCAGTGGTCTCCACTCTTTATTATTTTCCATGTTTTATTGTGAAGGAAACCTCCCAATCACTAATTCTTTCAGGAAGAAGGCATAAAGGTGGTCAAAAGCAGAATGATTTAGCTCTGGGAAAAATGTTGTTGTTCTACCTTATATAAAGATAAGCTTGGGGAGATATGGGTCTAGGAAATTGAGAAGGTATCTTGCTTTGCATTTCTGCAGGGAAATGAATCACTTTCTCACTTTGACATGCTTCTGACTGGGGAAGGTGAAATGAGAGCCTGGCATTGTTTAGGAGTTGAGACCTCTTTGCTCACTGAGTGTTCCTGTCACTTTCAGGTGTCTGTGGCAACTGATGACATGCTGAAACCTCAAGAAACTAAGCCTGTGCACTTTGAGACAACCTCTTCTGATTCTTCTTTGTCTGGCAGTAGTCCAGAGAGTACTCTGGTGAAGCAGACTTCCAGTCAGCCCATGGAGACTGTCATTGGCACTTCTGTGGATGTGGTAGATGGTGTTCTTGCTCAGCCAGTTCCTGCCACACAGTTGCCAGCAGAGGCTGGGCAGCCAACTAAAGTTGGGCGCTTTCAGGTGACAACAACAACAGACCAAGTGGGTCGCTTTTCTGTTTCTAAGACCCAAGATTCGGTCAGCTATGGGGAGAGAGAACCTCCTTCTGTGGACTTGGAGCAAGTTTCTTCTCCAGGCCTGACTCCAAAGAAAGGTGTACCAGAGTTGATAGAACCAGAGCAGTCTCCACACGTAAATGGCCCATCATATGAGCTGGAGGCTGCCTTCCTGAGTGGAGCAGCTAAGGACTTGGATGATGGCTCAGGCAGTCCAGACTCTCTGCAACCAGGGGGTTCCAAGATCAGCCTCCCCATCCAAAGCCTTAGCAACTCATTCAACTCTTCCTACATGAGCAGTGACAACGAGTCAGATATTGAAGATGAAGACTTAAAATCAGAGCTGCGGCGGTTACGGGAAAAGTAAGCTTCTTTTTGAATTGGTCATTAAGTTTGTGGGCATGTTTGAAGTATGTGCAACAGCTTCCTAGTCGAGTGACAGAACTGCTTTCAGTTAGGAGGCAACAAAAGACACTTTTCCCCTTAAGCATAAATCCCAGTTAAAACACTTTTTTTTTTCCTGTAGGGTTTTGTTTAAAGTTGTTCTATGGGCTAAAAAAATAACCTCTTAATACAGACCTACAATTCATAGTTTATGCACAAACAAGGAAAAATGGTACCAGGTAAACTGTCTCACATAATACCTTAAATGCAGATTTACAGTTTACTGAAATTTTCTGGGATTATGGAGGCTGTTCTTTTCATTTTTGTAAATGATGCCTAAATCTCTTAAGCTCAGGACCAAGAAAGGAATTGGAAAGGTGGCACTGAGCTTTCTAGTGCCTGGTTCCAAGAATGGAATTCACAAAACAAGTGAGGTGTCTGTACTTTCAGATGGACATAGCTGGACATATGAATTCTTATCCTGACAAGAGATGCTGAAGGGGTGGCGGTGGCTGGAATCTAGTCTCTCAGGCTTAGTATACCTAAATATACTTGATTTTCCTACTTAGGGTAGGAATTCACAATCTGAAATCCAGACCTAGGTTTAGGTCCCTAAGCTTTCCTAGATGATGGTGCAGGTGATCTGCTTTTTACATGATGGTCTAGTGGTTAGAACACTTGCCCCAGGGTGCGGGGTAGATAACTGGGTTTAATTCCCCCTTAGCCTGAGTGTACTCAAACCTACACCTCTTACTTCCTTAGAGTGTTTAAACCACAACCTTTGTCAAGGTTGCATAAAGTGCACTCTTCACCCCTTCTGTTTGAAACTTGGCTACTTTGAATCTTGCAGTATGCAATTGATAGATAAAATGCATATATGGCCTTGGGAGCATGGGTCAGAACCCAGGGGTCCTTTCCTTCCTTTCCCCTGAGAATACTCTCATCACTGGGCTATGGAGTTAAGTTAATTGCTCTCTTCCTTACCCCTGTGGCTTATTTGGTGAGTTCTGTGATTTGCTCACTTTGCCTGGGGCTGCACCTTTAGCTACCTACGTCCCTTTTAGATTTTTCCCTTGGGGACATCTAAAACTTACCCTAAGCAAAGAGGGATGGGGAAGAACACCTTAAGAGATCAAGGAAATGTTGAGCTGCTGATTTACCTTTTGCTCATGGGTGTGAGGATTCATTCAAGAGTGTCTGCAGAGAACTTGCATGTAATCTTACAGGAGAAGTGGTGGCTTTGGATCTTGTTCATATCTAACTAGAAACATCTTGGGTGACATTAAGCCTACTGGGAAATACAGGAGCCTAATCTCTCCTCTCTCTTTTCTGTTACGAGAGTGCTTTTTCCAGCCCTGCAGCATTTATGTAGAAGCACTAGACAATTATAATTCGTTCTTGGCTGTATAATTGCAGTGCTGAAGGGCAAATGTTACATTGGCACTCAAGGCAGTATTAGAGCAAGAACTTCTGACATGAATATCCAATAGCTAATTGTGGCCAAGAATTCCAGTCCTGTTCCTCACCTTTAATGGATTGCCCAGGGGGAGGGAGGGGCATGGAGGGTGGAGCTTAGGAGGGAGAGAAATTGGCAGGTGTAACTGCAAGCACTTACACATGTTCATAATTCCTCAGGCACCTTAAAGAGATCCAGGAGCTGCAGAGTCGCCAGAAGCAGGAGATTGAATTGCTTTACACAAAACTGGGAAAGGTTCCCCCTGCAGTGATTATTCCCCCAGCTGCTCCTCTCTCAGGGCGAAGGAGGAGACCTACTAAAGGAAAAGGTAGCAAATCCAGCCGCAGCAGCTCCCAGGGCAATAGGAGCCCCCAGCTGTCAGGTAAGGCTTCCTACGAGGCTTTGAACTAGTATTACATGTAATGAGTTGTTCATGGCATCTTTTTGATTCGGTCTTAAATCCTTTTCCAATGTGTCATGGGACTCTCTCAGTGCTCAAGCTGATGAAGAGATTGGTTGAGGTGGTGGCTTTATCAGATTTCCCTTTTGAATAGTAGACTCAATTGAGTGATGTTACTCCTTTGGGGTGGGAGGTGGTATACACTTGCAGCCTTTTCCCATATGTAACTTCTCTGGTCACTCTGGTTTTTGGGTTAGAAATTGGGTGTGTTAAATTGTCTTGGAAAATCAATTTTAGAGATGGTTCATTCTGAACAAATTGATTTTTGCATTTAGTGGAGGGTAGTCATAACGTTTCCTGCTGGAACTTCAGTCTAAGTGGTGAAAATGTGGCCTACCTAAATATGTGATACTACAAATATGTTCTGGTTTCTTTCTTAGCAGCTCCATAAGCCTCTTCATCCTTCAGTGAGCATGAGAGCCTAAATATGAGAATCTTGCCAGAGGCCCTTCCCTTCTGGTTTTCCTGCTCGTCTTTTATTTTCCCAGCTCTTCTCCTTTCTGCATACCCTTCCAGTGATACCTACTTCAGTTGCTACAGATATTTCTGTCTGAATCACCCAAGTATACCTAGTTGCAATTGTGATCCTCCTATCTAGTGGAAAGAGTCTGGCTGCACTGAGGAGACCTCAGACTTTTATAATGTACCCTTGTGTCCTGATTTTTATGATTTCTTCTTGTAGGTAACTTGTCAGCTCAGAGTGCCCCTTCAGTCTTGCCCCCACAGCAGACTCTTCATCCTCCTGGTAGTGCTCCAGAGACTGGGCAGAACAATCTGTTACAGCCCCTTAAACCTTCTCCTTCAAGTGAGAACCTCTACTCTGCCTTTACCAGTGATGGTGCCATATCAGTACCAAGCCTTTCTGCGCCAGGCCAAGGTAAGACTTTGGATGAGATTTAATGCCATGTTTTCCAGCAGCCTTATGGTTCAGGAAATTCTCAGGCTGGGGACACCCAAGATAAAATAAAGGTCCTAGATAAGGTCTGTCGTTTGTGCTTAGAAACTAATCAAGGTGCAGATGTGCAACTCTGGGCCACATATTTGCTGCTATTGGATTCCTGTGTTTTCGGGTAGGGAGAGCTGCAGGTGAGGTAACCAAGGGGTGTATCGCGCAACCCTCTGCTCGAAGGCAGTTGCTGAGGGGAGTGTAGACTCAGAGAATGCTGTTGGACATGCTTGTTACAGTGGTGCTGAGGCCCACTGAGAGTGGGTCTTATTGTGCTAGGCCTTGTGTAATACATAGTTAGACTCTCTCAGCCAAAAAGCTTTCAACAGACTAGACAATGTGAGAGAGAGGGTCTAACACAAGCAGAGTGCATGATGTGGGCATCTAGATAGCTTCATGATTTTGGGAGGGAAGGATTTAGTTAGTTTAAAAGATTGGGGGAGGAATGGGGAAGAAGAGGATAAGAGGAGAGGCGTAACTTGAACCAGAGGTGGAGACTGGGGGAGAGGTTAGACCAAACAGTCAGGGAAACTAGATAAAATTTTGCTGCTGGTGCAAAAGTCCCTGCTTTAGTAGCTCCTACCACCTGACCCCCTGAAATACCATGCTGAAAAACAGGCTGCTTTGTGCAGTTAAGTTGATGTTTTTTATAGAACTGTTCTAGTGATGGGCGTATAACTTACGAGCACATGCTGGGAGGAGTAATAGCTCTTATGCTTGTAGCCTCCAAAGTGGGAAATCATATAAGCCATTTTCAAACATTCCCCCTGAAAAGGTAGTTCAGTGCAGTGCTCTCAAGCGGGTGGTGTCTGGTTGGCACAGAATTGCATGAGGTAAAATGTAGGCATTGATGATGAGAAAAAGGATGAACAAGTGGAAGAGGAATTTCTCATAGGAATTGTCCCTTGTTAATCTCTTCAAGAATATTGGGACTACTAATTGTTGTTAAGTTGCACAATGTCACATGTCACCAAGTGCCTTTGACAGGTATGTTGAATTAGACATGGGAGATTTACCAGTTCTTTGCTGTTAAAAATGGTGGTGTAAAGGCTGGAAGGATTGGAGGAAGCCTTTGTATTGTGTTTCTATATCACTCACTGCCTCCTGAGGTTTGTTCTTGTGTGCCATGTTAATGCATTTCACCCCTCCAACCTCAAGTTGCTAACATCTTGTAGTTGTCTGTCCCTCCTCCTCTCCTTTTTCTGTTCTTCCCTTTCTTGTTTTATCACAGGCTGTGCGAAGTTTAACTGTGCATCTGAGAGGGTGACGTTCAAGCCTGGTGGCAGAAGGACCCGATTTCTGAGTACGCCCTGCTTGGCTCTTTGTGTGTAACACCTTTACTCCTTCCTTGTCTCTTCTTTCTTTCTTTTTTTTTCCTGCTGCTTGGGTTTGTCTCCTGCAGCCTGTTCTCATCTGCTTCTCTGTATTCCCTCCCATCCCATGGCTTGGCTCAACTGCTCTTTGTACACCTTAGAAGTTTGGATTCTTGGATTAAGCCCTCCTATTTGTAGCTGCCCTATAACAATCACTTACCTTCCATAAAGTTTGAGGGAGACTTCCCTGTTGTGACTAGTATTCTGTAAGGAATCTGCAGAAAATCAGGATGGATCACAAGGGCATATGGATTCCTGGTGCTTTCATATGACCCAGTTTATGATCTTGCTACAACAAATGCTTGTGGACACACGCATCATTGAGAAAAATCTGGTTCTCTTGAGTGGCAACGAGGGCTGCCTTGACTAGATGACGGCAGCAGCAGGGATGTCCAGGGTGTGCTCCCTTGTATTCAGACAGCTTTTTGTTACTAGTATTTAAATGCAAAATAAAATGACTGCTTCTGCAGTGCATCTCCTCAGTAGGTTGGGTAAAGCTCAGCATCTCATAAACAATGCTGAGCTTTTGGTGTAACCCCAGAACAATGAGCACTGCCCTCTTCAAGTTCATGGAGTTAGCTGGTTGCTTAAAAAAAAAAAAAAAAAAAAAAAAAAAAAAA